GTTGGAATCGGGTCTAAGATACACGTTGATGGTTTAGAAGAGAGAATCATTGAATTTAATTGTTCAAGGTTTATGGCTGAAAAGCATTCTAATTTACTATCTAGTGTAATATTAGAACTTCCGTTTCCGGGAGCTGTTGATAACACTATACTGGTCAAAGGCAAGAGGTCATTAATTTTGTTTCTAAGAGTAACAATTTTATCGTTAAAAAAGCATATCAAAGCATTACTACTGAGTGCTATGGGAATAGAAGGCTCAATCGAGCTGTGGCTCTCTGTCAGCCTGGCTATAAGTGCTGAAAAGAAATCTTGCATTATTCTTATTCTCATCTATTAATGAAGAGTAGTAAGCTGCTCTCGCTTTACGCAGTGCTTTCTTATATTCATTGAGAGTAATATGCCAAATTAAACGAGATTCTTCAAGTTTAGTGGAACGCCATATCCTTTCAAGTTGTCTCAACTTTTTCTTTATTTTGCGGGTTTCGGCATTATGCCATGGAGCTAGTCTATGTTGTTTTTTTGTTTTTTTTTTCAAAGGAGCAACAGAGTCTAATTTTATTCGCAGCGCATCTGTAGCACTATCAGCAACATTATTAATTTGGGGTGGTGTACATTTTGTATAAGTTTCATCCCTTACATACATACATGCTATCAAGTTTTCAAGCGCTGGTACTCTTCTTCTGGGGTAAAAACATTGGATCAGTTATGTGATTTAGTCATTCTGGAGCAGTTGAAACCGTCTTTCCCTGATAACATTGCAAATTAATGAACACAAAGTCACACTGGCTGGCGAGTATGTGTTGACAACCCAATCTCACACCTAAATATGTAATAACTACGTTGGTCCACAACTTGGGACGTAGTATTTCTACGAAAATGCCTCTGAAATTGTAGGATCCCTACGTTGGTGTTGGAGCACAAAAACATCTTTGGTGAGCGTTATGATAGGAATGAATCCCAAAAAGCAGGTTCTTTGTACCAAAGGTTTGCACAGCATCCTAAGAAAAGGTGTGTCATTATTGCAATCAACAGGGTCATTGGAAAAAAAGAATGTCCTTTGCTAAAGGGAAAAAGCAACAACTTTCATGTGAAGTCAGTTGGTTTGGCTACACCTATTCTACTACTAGGCTACTTACTATATAAGTTGGTGAAACAGAAGTCTTGGCTCCATTGCAAATTAAGGTTAAGCCAGTTGACATTTCAGAGGTGGAGTCGGGTTCTGCTCCGTTTATGTTTGATGGTTTTGTAACTAGTTGGGAGTGAGAAGAAAGTTCAAGTCAGGATTTTGAGGGACTCAGGAGCTTTGAATACTTTTGCGAGGGCATCATTTTAGGAAATGACCTGGCAGGTGGTCGTGTTTGGCCAGATTATGCAATGCCAGTCAACGGTAACATAAACATTGCAGGGAAGAGTTTTCCAGTTAGAGGCGGGGACTGAAATTGTCCTGATACGTGTTTCTCGTAAGTCTCTTCAGTGTAAATGATTGGAAATGCAAAAGATGTGGCAATGTTAATTGGCCTAGGATGCCAGAGTGCAACATTTGTAACACACTGAAGTATGCCAAAGAGAGAACAGGTTATGGTGGATGTTTCAACAAAAGAGAGAAAGTGGAAAGATTATGAATTTGGTTGGAAAATGAAATGTGGGCGGTATTATGGTAGGAAGAGAGCTATTGTACAGTAACATCCTTGGGTAATGTGGGGCAGGCAAGGGGAGCTTTGTCCCATTCTTATTAAAGTTTTGGCCATACAGGCATTTCCTTATCCGTCCAATAAGCAGCAGTAGTTGCATTTCCGGGGGTTGGGGTTAGGCTGTAACGATTGTGGGTTTAGTGCATATTTCGGTTGTCACCTCATGTACCTTTTTTCATGTACCTGTAACTGATTTTGGTTAACTGCTCAGCTACAAGTATGGGTGCCTGAGCAGTCAGTCTCTCTCTCTCCTCTTGGGTTGCTTGGCTCTACTGGATCTTGGTTTGTTTGTCTTTGTTTTATATGCTGATGCATGTTCACACACCTACTAACTTCACACATTACTGATTAACTGACTTCACAATTAACTTAGTTTCTTTAAATAAATGCACTTTAATTGGATATGAATCATGTGTGCTTTTGTCCGTCCTTGAGCCAGGGCGTGACACATTATTGCCTTGCAACACAGGTGTAAAGGTGATTTTAGAGCACTATATACATATATATTCTCTACTAGACAGGAGCATATAAAGAAGCACACAAACCTGAAGGAGCGCAGCATCCGGTAAGGTTTCCCCAAATCAGATACTCTCCTGCACAGAGGAGCCACTGCCAACTCCATCTGACACACACACACACAGTGATCATTAGACACACACAGTGATCATTGGACACACACTGAGGCCACGTTGACGAAACGGGTTGTATCCGCTACAGTTCTCTATCGTATGGACAGTTCGTTCACACGAGGCTGTAACGGAACCGCGGAAACGGAGCCCTCAAGCGATAACAGCTCCCAAGGTGGGTAGATCTGCGGACGAAACGCTCTGGGGGGCCCTAACGGCTCCGTCCTATACGATCATTTCCTGATAACGATGACGCCATAGCCCTGCCTCTCCCCACTTCTGCTGCTCACCCCCGCATCACCCGCGTCATTGCTGATGTGTTTCACCAACAACAACAACAATGGCGGCTCACAGGGTTGCGTTCGTGCTCCAGACACTACTGACCATGCTACAGATGTTAGTGCAAAATCTACAGCTCCTCTACCACAACCATCAGCAACAAGTGGACATGGAGAACTACATGTTGCTAAATCCACCGCGGAGAATAAAAA